TTAATACATTTTTATCTTCCTCTTTTCTTAAATATATGTTATTTCATAAAATAATATTATATGTAAATTCAAAACTTTTTAACTATACATTATCAAGCAAATCACTGTTTCCAAAGGCATTTTCCCGACAACTATAGTAAAATGGAGCCTAACCCTTCGTTTGTCAATTATTCTATCACATTATTTTTTTCTGCAGTATTTGTTTTCAACAGCACATTCTTCATTAAAATAATATTTCACATAAATAAAAAATTATTCCTTCTTTTTTAACCATACATTTCAATATTAATCATTCTTCAATAATACACTTTTTTTAAAATTAAAGAGGGCACAAACAGGCCCTAAATAGAGAAGGATTTAGGGGGGCTGGGCTGTAGTCCCTCCCTCAACTTGTCCAAAGGTATTTTTTATTTAAAAAATAAAAAAAATAGCTTTTATGTGTAAATTTTTTTTCTCGAATAGCAGGCCGATTTAAAATTTTGTAACCCGATCTTAAATCCAATTTTGAATACGGACCTTTACCCTAAATATCACATCGAACATTTTTATCGTTCACCGTCCGTTTGGAGTTAAATAAAAAACATCCAAATTCCACCGTTTGAGGCGCTTTCTATAGTCGTTCGTGTCATTTCAGTGCCCTCTTATTATGCCAGGAAATTCCACGTCCGAGTCAGTCCAATACACACGACGTAAGCAGTGACAAAATCAAAAATATTCCACCACTCTCCTTGAGATCTCAACACGTGTCCATCTCAAACCCTATCTCCCATTGTGTTCTAGAACATGTTTTCTCCTCGCTACACGCGTCCCCTCCACCTCTCTATATATTCGCCTCTCTCCCTTGCGAGTTAAGTTTCACCAAAGCCCCTTTCCTCCCCTCCCCTTACTTAAGTCTTATTTCCGCCATTTTTGCTACTGTTCGAAGAAAAATTGAAATGGAATTGCAATTGCCTCCAGGATTCCGGTTCCACCCGTCCGATGAAGAGCTCGTGATGCACTACTTATGCCGAAAATGTACTTCACAGTCAATTTCTGTACCTATTATAGCAGAAATTGACCTCTACAAGCATGACCCATGGAACCTTCCTGGTAAAATATATTGACCATGCTTAAAAGCCCTTTTTAATATATATTTTTTCTCAAAACGAAATTAATTGGGTGAAATTTATAGGATTAGCTCTGTATGGGGAAAAAGAATGGTACTTCTTTTCGCCTCGGGACAGGAAGTACCCAAACGGGTCAAGGCCTAATCGGGCGGCTGGGAGTGGGTACTGGAAGGCGACCGGAGCGGATAAACCGATCGGTCGCCCGAAAGCAGTTGGAATTAAAAAGGCCTTGGTGTTTTATGCTGGTAAAGCGCCTCGAGGTGAAAAGACTAATTGGATAATGCACGAGTATCGGCTAGCCGACGTAGATCGCTCGGCTCACAGAAGGGACAATAGTCTTAGGGTGGGTGCACCTCAATTGATAATAACTTTCTAATTCTGTATTAGAGAAATGATTCATTCTTATCTGCGTAATTTGAGATTTAAAAGAC